AGATTGAGATTATTCATAGCTTTAGTTTGCTTGGCTCCACAGTCAACACTCTTGGCACCAGTAGCCAGGAAATTAAAAGATGTATTGCGATGGGAAAGTCTGCTGTTAGGGACCTCTCCAAAGAAGAGCAATGGTGTCTCTCTGGAGACTAAGGTGCGTCTGATAAAGGACATGGTCTTTGAAATCACTTGTTATGCATCAGAAAATTGGAAAAAGGGATTTGCCATTCATTAGGGTCGAGGATTTGCTTATATTTCCACAGGCACAGAAATACTGTGGGTACCATTCAGAGACAAGAAATCCAGAGAGCTGGAAGAGGCCATACTTCGACAAGGATGGAGTTGCAGAGTGGATAAACAGAATCTGCATCAGAGAGTTGGACAATGACTACAGAAGATAGAAGGAGAATTGATGCCTTTAAGCTGTGGTGCTGGAGAAGAGTATTGAGGGTACCATGGACTCCTGGGAGAACAAAAAGATTCATCCTGGAGAAGGGTAAATCGGGCAGCTCCTTGGAGGCAAGAATTCTGAGGCTCCATCTAACATATTTTGGACATGTTGTAAGGAGGGATCAGTCCTTGGAGAGGGGCATCATGCTTGGGAGGGTGGAGGGACAGCGCAGGAGGGGAAGGCCCTCTAGGAGATGGATTGATTCAATGACTGGGGTAATCAGGTTGAGTGTGTCGGAGACAGTGTGATTGGCACAGGACAGAGCGGAGTTTAGGGCTGTTGTACATAGAGTCGCTATGAATAGCAAGCCACTAGACGGCACATAACAACAACAACAAAATTAGAAAAAGTTTCATGAGGGCTTCCTCACCCTTGGAAATTAAGGACAAGTAAAAGTTTCATAAGGATTGATTTCCTCACCCCTTCATAAGGGAAGAATTAGAAAAAATTTTCATGGGGACTTTCCCCAACCTCTGAAGTAAATTGCTTAAAAATCTCAGAGGAAGAAGTGGGGGGAAAAAGAGCCATAGGGAATGTGCCATCTTCTAAAGCTCAATATATTTTTCTCTTAAAGAAGCTGTTTAAGAGCTCCGGGGTAAAAGTGAAAGAAAAATCTTTTCTGCAGTTGTTTAAATGTATTGAAAAACATTGTTTCTGGTTTCAGCCTTTTGGTAGATCTCAACTGGATTTAGAAATTTGGTATAATGTTATGAGAGATTTACAAAGAGCACATCAAAAAGAACAAATTCTTATTGCTTTTCGGCCAGTGTTGGCTTTGATAAGAATAGTAACAATGTCCGTGCAGGATTGTACACATAATAAAAAAAGTTTGCAAAGAGAGATGGCTGAATCTTTGCATGAATATGAATTAAGTTATATTACATTAGAGAAGGTTAAAACTGAAGACAAGAGACGGCCTTTATGCACACCCATGTTTATTGTGTCTTTGTTCACAATAGCAAGGAGTTGGAAACAACTTAAGTGCCCATCAACAAATGAATGGACAGAGAAGCTGTGGTATA